TAGTCATGTGATGGTGTTTTTCTAACACCATTCTTACCCACGTGGCCATCTATCTAATATGCATACAAGTACATGCCATTTATAAAGTGCAAAGCTCGACTTTTGCATCATTCATTTCTAGCATGAGAACAAAGTCAAGGGTTGCTGCTGCAGTAGTAGTAGTAGTAGTCGTAGTAGTAGCTGTGGGAACGTGACTTATGGGGCAGAACAGTCCATTAATTTAAAATGACAGAACAACAACAACGAGAATTTTTTTTTTTTTTTGCATTTTCTGTGGGCGTCCTGAGCGTCTGCTTCATTCAGTTATGGATGTTATGCGTCATGCATGCACTTCACTTCAGAATAGAAAACTGAATTAAATTTGACCTGATGTATTATTAAGGTCATAAATGTATTGATGCAGACTTATATTAAGACATTATGTCATGTCTGCATGTGTCTGCATTGTGCAAAACTCAATGCCCCGTGGAGCATGTGGGTTTTATTTATATAGTGCCGAATTGCAGCAGCAGTCTTATCAGTGCTTTATTACAAAGCAATGGCCAATGACTCTATATAAGCAAGTACTTGGTGATGCTGGGGAAGAAAAAATCCCTTTTATCAGAAAGAGACTGCTGGCAGGCTCAGGGACACAACAGCATCACACAGTTGCTGTAGATCCATGATGTGAACTCTGCTCTTGCTCTACTGGATTGAAATCTGGTGACTGTAAAGACCATTTGAATGAACTCAGTCATGTTCAAGAAACTAGTTTGCGATGATTTGAGCGCTGTGACATGATGCATTATCCTAAAGGAAGCAGCCATCAGAAGGTGGATACGCTGTAGGGCATAAAGGGATGGACATGATCAGCAACACACTCAGGTGGCATTTAAATGATGCTCAGTTGGTACTAAGGAGTCCAAAATATGGCAAGAAAATAACCACATACCCCCAGCCTGAACCACTTGAGATAATGCAGGATGGAGTAATAGGCTGTAGCTTCAGTTTTATGTTGACTGGAGTGGCCCTCGGTGTCTTCTGCTGCTGTAGCCCATCTTCAACGTTTAATGTGCTGTACGTTCAAAGATGCTCTGCTGCATTGCTTGGTTGTAAGAAGTGGTTGTTTGAGTTATTGTTGCCTTCCTGTCAGCTCTGAACATTCTCCTCCGACCTCTTCCATCAGGAAGGCTTTTTCACTGAGAAACTGCTGCTTGCTCGATGTTTTTCCCCTCCTTTTCAGACCTTTCCCTGTAAACACTTGAGATGGCCATGGCAATACACATCCCAGCTCTGATAATGCCACATTCAAAGTCACTTTAATCACCTTTTACCTCATCGTGGTGCTTAGTTTCAACTTCAGCAGGTCGTCTTTGCCATTTATACATATCTAAATGCATTGAGTTACTGCTATGTGACTGGCTGATGAGATCTTTGTTGAACAGATGTAACTAATCAGCTCGTCTGTGAGTGTATATAGTTAAACAGATAATCTACTGAAACCACAGCAGTAATTTGATTACGTGTTTTTATTAAAAATCTGTAATTTATTATTACTTTATTTATATTTAAGCTTTCTTTCTTTCACCAGCTAACATAATGTCTGATAACATGCATAACTCTCATTTAATTTTATATCTCTTTCTATCCCTCCAGAGCATCAGAATTATTTCGGTGTAGATGACCATCTTGGACCCGTGGCAGTCAGCATCCGCAGGGAGAAGCTAGACGATGGAAGGGATAAGGAAGGGTCGCAGTACAACTATCGGGTCACCTTTAGAACCAGTCAGGTAATGATAATACACTGATGTGCACTTTTCGCTCACTGCTTACATTATGGATGCATGATTGGAGAACCTTCATGACCTGTCAATTTATCAAAGAATTGTTTACTAGCGCGAACATGGATTTTTCATATTTCTCATATCACATTCAGTGAGACACATTAAGGTCATTCGGCCTGCGGCTCAGTCAAGCAGTACAAGAGTCCAGGAATGCTTCAGTACCCCCGAAAACAACAGGAAACTTCTCTGCCCTCTTAAATCTGCACTAACGTGTCCAGTGATTCGGTGCCAGTTGTGACTCAGTTGGCCATTAATGCAAATACTGATACAGTGTATCAGAGGTGTGTAGTTGCCCGCCTTTGCTCACTTTCACACACCCCGATGAACACACAACCTGATTAATCCTAAAAAACGGAGAGGCAGAGTCCTGGTGTCCCTGGTGGGACCGTATCGTCTTGATTGATGCTGGCTTGTCTCATTCACTGAATAATTCAGGTGCAACAGATGCGTCAGGCAGGAAAATGTCACTGATATCCAGTGCCCTTCTCTGTTTAAAGCACCACTCCCACGATAAAACAATGTATCTGGGTCATGGTAGCCCTGCAAGTGGCACGCAGGCAGTGTTTTAACTCCTCGGTCGCTGGAGCATCTATTTGCATGTACTCCTGTCATTTAGCCTCATTGCTCTCTCTGCGCGACCTGCCCCACATCGCTCTCTCTTCCTTCCTCTGCTATATAAGTCGACTTTTCGGAAAGCCTTTTTATCGGAGCGCAGTTGACTGCTGACATGTTAACAGGCCGTGCAAATGGAAATTTGGATGTTGTTGTTTTGAAAGTGTTTACTGGCACACAAACATCTAGTATTCAGTTAGCCTGCCTCAATTATTTAGAATTTGAGTTCCCTAATGCTGTCCAGAGTCATAATGTAGTCATTACCCTAAACAACAAGTCAGCATATGGAAGCATACCTGACCCAACCCTATCACACTGTACAAGTAGGAGTGTATATGACTGTTAACTTTACTGGACAAATCCTCACCATCTGTCTTTCCTGTCAGCTGACCACCCTCCGTGGTGCCATCCTGGAGGATGCCATTCCATCCACGGCGAGACACGGGACGGCCCGCGGGCTGCCGCTCAAAGAAGTACTTGAATACGTCATCCCTGAGCTGAATATCCAGTGTCTGAGGCTGGCCATGAACTCTCCCAAAGTCCCGGAACAGCTCCTCAAGCTGGATGAGCAAGGGGTGAATAATACATTGAGATGTCCTCTTGAACCGTGTTTTGAGTGCTACCACAGATTTTTGCTGATGATGATGATTTAACGGGGTAATCTAAGGTTCAGTGCCTTGATGATTAATACTTGGTGTCTTGCATTTTAAAATATGTATACATATGGTTCTTCCTTTTTTTTAAGAAAAATGCATAAATACTACCATTTGTAGTTTTACGGGGTGATGCATAACATGCAGGACTACTACTTGTCGAGACGAAGTGACTCACTGTGGAGTCATAACTGTGAGGCTGCCAACCAGCACTCCAGGAGGTCACTGCATCTGGACAAACAATAGTGAATCACACAACCTCTTCACAAAACCTGACAGATTACGCTAACAAGATACAGCAGGTTAACAAACGTGCGTCTCTGTATGTGAAATCTTTCTCTGAGGAGGGAAGAAAGCCTAGTCTGTCCAGAGATTTTCCAGCTGTTCAATTTTAAAGCCACCGCAGCCACATATTAGAAACGAAAGATTGTTTGACTGCATTAGCACATCACGCTACATATTCCAGGCGTATGTGTCTGTATTTGTGACATTTACCTCAGCTATAGAAGGAAACTGGGAGGGATTAACTTCAAATAGCAGGGATCTTTGTCCTATATACGGGCTGCTTGTTATAGATGGATAACACAGACTCCTGGGCCGAGGCGCAGACAATATCACGCTTAAATAGAATCAATAGAAGTCCTGTACTCTCTGCAGCCAGCACCATCTGCTTTTGGCACACTTGTTGTACTGATAGGACACTTGCACACAAGCTAGAGTAACTTACTTTTGACAGCCTACTTTGCCTGAGAGCAGGAGATTTGGTATGCTGCTCAGACGGTGGAGGGTGTCATCTTGCATTATCTCTGTTTGAATAAAATTGCTAATAGTGGTATGGGCTCTCTATATTCACAGCTGTCACAGATTCATTGCGTGATCGGAAGGCCTTTAATTTCTCATGTAATGAAACTGGGGGAAAAAAGATGGAATGGAGAGTGGAAGGATTAGCCAGGGGTGATACTTGTTTCACCATCAGAGAATTGTCTGCTTATTAGTTTAATTACATTCGTTAGCGTGCGCCCATCCTTCCAATTGACAGGGGAAAGGTTCTTATAATAGAAAGTGTCAGCCAAGACCCTCTTCTGTGTTAGGATTTTGTTACACACATAAACAAGAGCAATGAAGTGTCCTCTCTAAAGCAAGTTAAATGCACTCACGGTGGCAGGCTCTATGTGTCCAATTATGTCAAAGTAACTTTGTAAATAAGTGCTTTGAGGAAGTTCTTCCCACCAGATGTTACAGGGGTTTGTTCACCTGCCATGTGACTCCCCATGTCTGCAGATAAAGAGTTTGATAGATGATGAAACTGACACATGGGAGGCAAAAAAAAGCAATAAAATAATCTCAAGAAACTGCCTTCAGAGGAGGAGAGCCCAGGCTAAGTGGGGCTTGAAGCTTTTCCAGTTGGCACTCCTCTGCGCAGACCTCAAACCAAAAGCCCAGTGGAAGCCAGTTTTATATTTGGATGTCAGTATTTTTGCACACTCCTGTTATAATCATTAATGTTATTCTTGCCGGGCAAATGTTCAATATATCAGGCACTCCTTAATCTGCTTTTTAACCAAGCTGGACTTTGACCGCCCCTCTAATGTGTTTATGTGAGGAAGTTGATACGGGACAGGAAGAACTGCAGCCTGATGATCTGCCTGACTTTTTTTCCCCTAAAGTGCATATTTTTTGAGGATTTGTGTGTGCGCGCGCAATTCTTTGGAGATGTTAGATGTTAGTCTCTTTGTTAAATGCTTCCTCTTGCTGTGAACAGAGTCAGAGAGGGTCTCCTGCATCTGCAAAAAGAATATCCCTGAAAGCGGCCTTGTAGACTGCGCCGAAACAGCCTAGGACGTAAGAAGAGAAGAGAGCATATGTGAATGTATTTTAGATCTCATTGTAGATCACAGTGAATTGACTGTGCGCAGATGGACTGTGGAAAAGGAGTTGGCAGCTAATGAGATTTAGAGATGCGATCTTGAGTAAGAAATTACAAATTAGGTTTTGGTTTTTTTGTAAGCCATTGATTTTTCAATGCGTATCTGCTGTTTCAATCTAAAGACTCAAATCTGGAAAATTAAAATTCTTTAGTTTATTATTATCTGTGTCAGTTAGAAAATGAAAGTTATGAATTTACAAGCACTGGTAATACTCATAAATTTGAAAGTGAGAGGAAAATATAAGTGTGTCATGACAGTAATGACAACGTTGAGGAGGTCAGAGAACAGTTACTGACCTTTTCTAAGTTATGTTTGACAGATGATATTCTCCCTAGCCTAGAAAGCTAATCTCCCTGCAGCGATTGCATTCATAGCATAAACAAAGAATAAGTGCAGGAAATTTTGCAATTACAAACACTGCGTTTTTTAAAATCCCCTGGCCTTACATTGAAAGTTGGAGACGTTTCTGTAGTAACACTTTAATGCAATAACCCCAGCAGATGTTTGTGTAGTGGTGCGTGGTGATTGTAGCCAGGTTTAAGTAGCCACATTTTGGATTTTTGCTGCATCAGGACACTGCACCGCAGACATATGTCACACCACGGCATCCCTCAGGAGCCACACAGAGCTCTCCGGGGGAAACACTGTCCCAATTTCTTTCTCCACTCATTATGTGTCTTTCGTTGTTTGTGCGTTCTTATTTTAGTTTCAGCTTTTGTTTAAATGAATGAGCAGGAGTTCAGTTTTCAACGCCCTGCAGGTCTGGACAGATGGAGAAAAATTGGAGATGCTTTCTTTGCTAAGATTTTTGGCAAGATCTGTTAAATGGGATACAGCTCCACCTTAACAGAAGCTAATGCCACTCCAAAAAGAGCCATCACAGACGGTGATGCAACGAGCTTCACCGAAGGAGCACTACTCATCTGTATCTTTGTTATATGTCCTGTGTGCTTGCACTTTTCAAATTCGCCCCAAAGGTTAATGTGATTACCGTCCCTATCGGTTAGGCTGTTAAGAAGAGCTGGAGGTCAAGCGAGTCCATATCACACAGGATAAAAGACAGAAGGCCACATCATTGCACATCATGCCATTTCCACGGGGCTTGATGATATAATAGCTTTTGGTAACCGCAGGAGCTTTAGTGCAGAACCGACTGCCTGATGGGAGGAAGTCACCATGACAACAGTGTCAGGAGTACACCGGGAAATCATAACCTGTAACGGAGGAAAAAGACAATTCCAATTTGTTTCAGTATATAGACCATTTGTCAGCATTCACATTCAGAGAAACCCTTTCTTCCCGCCGTACCGACACATTGACTCTGGGTCAAGATGAAGGTGAAGCTGTGAATAAAGGGCAACAGGTGCCAAACGCAAGGGGCTGCCTCCTCATCTATTTGTTTCCACCCTTGACCCTTTTTTTTTCTTTCCATCTTCTGCTATCATTGGGAGGGTGTAAGCCTTAGAACTCATGTAGTGGAGAGATGCTCTCACACGAATCTCACAAGAGAATCACTCCAGATGTTTTATTTCTTCCTGTCTCTTGAGGAGATGAGTTCATATCAGACATTTCTGAATTATAGCAACGCTTGTGGTGGAAACTTGAGAAATTTGGCTCCCTTTTCTATGCCTTTAGATGGTCTTCTCAATAAACAAGACGTCTGTATATCTGTATGTAGACACATTATTTTAAACAATCTTCCTAGTATCTCACAGCTACAAAAGTATCTCCTAAGGAAGAGGTCCATTAGAAAGTATTGAAATACTGTTGTTGGCAGATTATGCCGTTTTCTTTCATAAATCGAAACTGTTCTGCTGTATGTCTGTAATCCACTCCCTTGTCGCCCCACAGCTGCTCTTAAGTAGCAGCTAATAGCTCAGGCTGATTTATACTCTGCACAGTGCTCCTGAGAGTTCATAGCCTAGCTTCACAAAAGGGGATTTCAGATCTCTCTCTCCCCAAGAAGGGTTATGAAGGCCTTCACATTAGCTGTGACATGATGGAAAGTGGGCACTTGCATGCTTTGAGTGCTTAATATACAGTATGTATGAGTGTGGTGTGTGTGATACCTATCAGCAACAGGAAATAGTACTCACTGAGTGTCTATGTCTATTTTCCTCATTCCAGCTAAGCTTCCAGCACAAGGTGGGGGTACTCTACTGCAAGGCTGGCCAGAGCACAGAGGAAGAGATGTACAACAACGAGAGTGCCGGCCCAGCGCTGGATGAGTTCTTGGATCTGCTTGGTCAGAGGGTGCGCCTCAAAGGCTTCACCAAGTACAGAGCTCAGCTGGATAATAAGAGTAAGATAAAATGCACGACACACTCGCCAAGCTAAACATTCACAAATGCTAACCCACACATTTCCAGTCCTGCTGAGTGCAGATGCTCCGCTGTATGTGTTTACAGGGACTGTAGTGCATCTTCAATCTTAATTTTTGTTCTATGATATCATCAGATCAGCTAACTCGGTTACATTTTGCAATCTGGCCTGAGACCCTGACCTCCCTGTCTTCTCTTATAGCGGACTCCACAGGCACGCACTCTCTTTACACCACCTATAAAGACTACGAGCTGATGTTTCACGTGTCCACCATGCTCCCCTACACACCCAACAACCGGCAGCAGGTGAGTAAACTGTACCCTTCAGGCTCTCCTGCAGCACTCCACCATGCTTGCTCTTCTGTGTACTCAGTTGATGTCTAATAGCTTTAATAAATCCCTGAGCAAGTTCCTTTTAGGACATCACCTATCCTGACTACTGCCAATCTTCCCCAGAGACTCATTTCGCCACGGTAATGACCTATCAGTTGAAAGCACGAGCATTGCCATAGCGACAGTACCCCATAGTAGGACTTTAATCAGTGCTTCCCCAGGGGCTGAAGCAGACATGGTATTAGATGGACCTGTCTGTGCTAACAAGTGGAATTAGGTGGATGTAGCAGTGGACTGTTGAACGATGGCCCTCTAAAGATAAGATTACAGACATTCACTGTATTAATCTCTATGCTGATCACATGGTTGTACTTTTTGAGTCCATAATACAACCTGTGGGCACCACCCTGTAGAGATTAGAATATCTTGATGGAGGCTGGATGTACAGTCTAAAACAGCAGAAACATCTAACAAGTGAGCGTAGAAACATATGATTGGTGGTGTGTTTTTTCTCTTTACCTTTCATCCAATTGTATGTCATAAAGTGGGACTGTTTGATTTAATCCCTGGTGGTAATATTCCAGCAGGGCCAAGCAGAGCTTGACCTGTTCATCCCTTCATCATTTCCAAATCACCCCTGCACCCTCTAATCCTGCTTGTTTCGGGCTCTCACCGACCCTGACTGACAGGCTCACACCAACCAGAGAATGGGGGTTAATGACCTGCACAGGCCAACAATACAAGCAGTATAAATTGGGTTTGAGTGGACATGTGCCCTTCACACACAAATCCTAAATTGAGTTAGTTGATATCTCTACCACCCAAAAATCCCTTTGTCCAGTAAAGTTTCAGTATCCAAACCAGGAACAGTGATTCTGTCGAAGAAGGGCAAAATGTGAGAGTTTACTCAAAGGATTGATTTTTTTTTTTTTTTTTCGTGCAGGGGATGAACTGATGCCCCCGTCCCTGCATTCAGTGTAATAAAGATGCTCAAATGTTAATCCAGGAAAATGATGCTAAACAGGTGGTGTCCCATCAGTTGTATCAAGGCTTGTTGCAACCCATGAGTCTATGATTGAAAAATTGTTTCCAAAGGAAAGGCCTGTGGGAAGATTAGGAAACATAAACTGTGACATCCTCATTTTCTCAATTACCACACCATGTCCTACTGAGAACGTGACGTACACGCCACAAGATTGTGCAGAGGCCCTTGCAGATGAATTCACTGTGTACCAATCAATGCCAAGTGTATCATATTTGATACATGAGCATTACCTGTAGAGTTTGAAAAGCTTGAACAAATTGCAATTTGTTTTCAAACAATTTTTTTTAAACAATTAATAAATAAAAATGATGGATGTAGCAAAACCTAATTTGTTTTCTTTTAATTTGTCAAAAAGTTCAATAAACATTCCAATTTCAAAAAAATGTAAATTTTCTGGCAATTATTTAATGACTAGACTACAGTTATTATAGTTTTGTATTTTCTAATTATTATTATTATTATTATTATTATTATTTCATTTTGACTTTTTGTTTTCAATTCAGTTAAGTTTCAGTTATTTTACAAAGTGGATTTTCTTATTTCAGTTTAGTTTTTGTTATTTGAAAATGTTTAGTTTAGCCTTTTTTCTTTTTTGTTTCAGTGTTAGTTTGAGGCTTTTTTCTTCATTATTATTATACCAAGAACATAAGTCATAGGCAAGATTTGGGGAAATCAGGCTGTATAATAAAAACATAACTTTTTGAAAGCAGTGATTCGTAGTGTTATAAAAATCCAGATATCCATAAACACGTCTGTCAATACCTCAAGTTTTAGTTAATATAACCACCTTGGTTCAGGCTTCATAGGGTTAATTAAATAAGGAACTTTTACATAGCTGGCATGTTTTTTTGGGGGTTTTGATTTTGTTGTTTTTTTGGTTTTGTTATTTTTTTGGTTTTGTTATAAGTCCTGTGACATGTGGTTTATGGCTGTTATCGGACCTGTCAATCAAATCTTGTTGCATTAAAAACAAAAAGATGCTCTTGTGTCATTTCCTGGTTTATAAGAGATGTCAGCCCTTCTGTCCATTAATGAGGAAGTTTTTGACACCCAAAACTTTTTTGTTTTTCTTGGCTATGATACTTTAAGGTTTGCTGGGAAAATTTCTAAGTAATAAAAGGTCCAGTACATATGAGCACTTGGTGCTACACCTTAGTTTGTCTGGTATTGATCGGTGGCTTATCATGGCTAATGTTAGCAAATGTTTGCTGAGTTGAGAAAGAAGTTTTTGTGTGACTGTTGAGTCACTGCAACTGACACACGGCTGGCCTTTGTTCAGAAAAACAAATTCTAACTGAAATCTTAAAGCGATAATGTGTTTTCCAAACTTCTGTACTCTTAAACTAACCTGACTGTGTTCATCTTTTATCTAATTTAATTTCCATTTCTCCTTTTTCTCTTGCAGTTGCTAAGGAAGAGGCACATTGGCAATGACATTGTCACCATAGTGTTTCAGGAGCCTGGGGCCCTTCCTTTCACTCCAAAAAACATCCGCTCTCATTTTCAACATGTGTTTGTCATTGTCAAAGTCCACAACCCGTGCACTGATAACGTCTGCTACAGGTAAATGGAACAAGCATGCATCACGCCTGCGAGGCACTCCCAAAACCGTTTTTTACTCTGGTTGGTAAAGAAAAGCGTGCAGGGTAGAAGAAAGTAGAAAAACATCTGAGTTTGGTGGCATTGAGTCAAACCACTAAATATTAGAGTGCTACACCACGGGATAAGAAGCGAAATGGTGTGCTCGAGACAGTTTAGGCGAACGTGTTGATCTTCTGATGTGTTTTTCATAGATGTCTTTGTGTCAAGTGGCTCTTCTGCGTGAACTTTTAAGAACACTTAATTTAAAAGGATAATAATAATAGCTTGCTCAGTGATTTCTGTGGTTTCTCTTATGACTTCATAGTAATGCGCCAGAATCACAGGGCTCTTTTCATCTGTTCAGTGAGGATACAGTTATTATCTTCAGAGACACCTTGAAATTATGACTTATGAATTACGACTCAAGAGTTTCTGAAGTCAAGACGACTCTTGCTAATAACATAGCATTTGTTGAAGGGAGAAAGATTAGTCTTAGCAGAAATTATTTTACCAAAAGACGTATAATTTCAGCGCCTGCTCATTATTCATTCAGTTCAATATCCACGCTCCTCTTTTTCTTAACTGTCACTCCCGCATTTTATGTTTTTTTCCAGTGTGGCTGTGTCCAGATCTAAAGACGTGCCTCCATTTGGCCCCCCTATTCCCAAGTCTGTAACTTTTCCAAAGTCCGCAGTTTTCAGGGACTTCCTGCTTGCCAAGGTCATCAACGGAGAGAACGCAGCACACAAGTCGGAGAAGTTTCGGGCCATGGCGACTCGTACGCGGCAGGAGTACCTGAAGGACCTAGCCGAGAACTTTGTCAGCACGGCCACTATAGACTCAGCTGTCAAATTCAGCTTCATCAGCCTCGGAGGCAAGAAGAAGGAGAAGGTGAAACCCAGGAAGGACGCGCATCTGTTCAGCGTGGGAGCGATCACCTGGAGCGTCCGTGCCCGGGACTTTGGCCAGTCGCTGGACTTTGACTGCTTGCTTGGTATATCCAATGAGTTCATCGTGCTCATTGAGGAGGAATCAAAAAATGTGATCTTCAACTGTTCGTGCCGCGACGTCATCGGGTGGACCTCAGGGATTATGAGCATTAAGATTTTCTACGAACGGGGCGAGTGTGTCATGCTGTCCGCTCACGACAACTGCGGAGAAGACATCCGGGAGATGGTGCAGAGACTAGAGGTAAATCTCTTCGTGTCTGCATTGGAATAATCTCTGTCATCCCAAAGCTCTCAATAACTGCTGGATTAGACCACAGAAGGCCAGTGAGATGATCCTTTTTGTAGCACCGTGTCTTCGGTGTCACTTTCTAATCATACCATATGTAGAGATTTGAGAGAACAAAAGACATTAGATGAATCAGTTTCCAACACCACACCCCCCTCACAGAGCTAGTAATTCATTCTGTGTTTGCCCTGTCTGTTTAATTGAGGGGTTTTTGTATAAATTTGACATCCAGTTTATTTGTGAAATAATGAGCACATTACAGTAAAAACAATTACGCTGTCTACTACTAGTGCGTAACACAGTTTTAATAGCTCCGCGGAAAGGTGCAGCTGTTGGCGCTAATGCATAAACATAAAAAATTACAGTAAGATTTAAAAAATAAAAGCCAAGCATCAGCAGCACCAAAAATAATGATGATATGGCACTTATTGTGTTTTACTAGAAATAGAGACAGGTTCACATTTTCTAAACATGTTCTAAACTATGCACATAAAACATTATCAGGGCCTCTTCCCCGCCCCTGTGCATGCTACTGCACTTTCACCTGCATGTTGTTGCCTGCAAAAAACATTATTTGGGCGACTGTGGTTAATCCACGTGTCTTAAAAGTGAAGTGCATGTGAAGGAAAGTTTACTTTTAATGTGGCAGTGGAGCGTTGTACTTTGGATATTTGTGGGCTCTGCGGTGAAACGGTGCATTCAGCAAATGTTGCTCTTGCAGTTGCAGCTTTAATGCTTGACCACAAACCTTTTAATTCTGTTTTCACGGTTAGGTCAGCAAAACTGTTGCTCATTTAACCTTTATTTGTGCCGTCAATTCTCATGTGCTGCAGAGCTACAGAGATTTAATGGCCCCTTTTTTTTGGCCTCCACTCCATCACAAAATGCAGGGAAAATATCTCACTAAATTAACCCAAACCTCACTTGCTTTTCAGGCAGCTCCCTCTTTTTTTTTCCCTGATTGTGCATAAATGGGAATGTGAAAAGCAGAGCCATCAGAGTTCAGAGAGGATTACAGACCTCCTGTTGAAAGCTTTCTTTGGCTCATCACAGACTCGGCAGAGGTGCACAGGCGACCGTTCGGGTCACACAGTTGCAGATGTCCTGCTCTTGATCAGGATAAACCACTATGACATATCACGCAACTTTCACAAAAACTGACTAAATAAAGCCGAAGCGGCTCAGCACCGCAGACAGTTCATTTAATGGATTGAAAGATTAGTGAAAATGGGACTTTTGGTTCTTGAATTGGGGACTGTCTGGGTGCAGGTTTACAGGGAGACTCTTTCTAGCAGGACACCAACCCAGCTTTGAAGGGGAAGGCTAGAAACAGAGGCAATTTGTTTTATTTTTTGGGTGTCTGGCAGACTAAGAATAGAGGACACGTGGCCTCATACTACTGCTTTACTCCTATTAAGAGCTCCTCACTTAGTCCCAGTCCTCGCATCCCTATTTTGTAATTCTAGCTTGGCCATCTGCACAGAGCTGCAGACACATTGTGTTACCTTTTGGGCTATGTGGGTCCAGGTGTCTTGAAATCTTGAAAATGGTGTACACCTGGCTACACAGCCCAGATGCTGTCCTCAGACACCTTGTTTCTGCTTCCTGTGTACCTGCAGGGTCTTGCTTTTCCTATTCTAGTTCCCATGATTTGTTAAGTGAAGCTCTAATCAGGCAGCCTTTTGTTTTCCTTAAATAACATCGTGGTTGAATCCCAAAATCCAAACCTGAGCTGTGCCTGACCTTTTTCATGCCTGGCTGTGTGCTTTCCGGCGCTTATCCCGCACAGTCCCTTTTTGGCAGTTGCATCAGCAGTCTTGAAATTTGCAGCAAACCCTAGCCAGCAAATCAGTTGTTCAGCCAACAAGTAACAAACAATTTCCTGCTAAAAACCTGAATGAGGATCAGATTCTTCTGAGGATTAAAGGAGGTTCGGATAATTTTTATTATCACCTCTTGCAATGAACTGAGACTCTCAGAAGAGCTTCTGAATGAGAATGAATAAATGTGCACCTGAGTACAAAGATTCTGCATATCCTTACCAAAAAAAAAAGAAAGTCACACCAGAACCTGACGAAGTCTTTCCCATAATTACTCTTTAAAGGACACGGATGTCATTCAGCGTCTACACACACTCATCTTAAGGAAGGACAGAGCGGGATATATTAGCATTCGTGATTAGCCAAAGGACATCACTTCCTCATTCGCTATGCTAATTTCCCCTCACATTTTCTGTCCACTTCTCCAAGGAATTCCTGATTAATATTTCACAGCCCAGTTTTATAAAGTATTATAAAGTTAGTACGGATCACTGTTTGTGTTGTGATACAGGCAATGGAGCAGAAAGCTGTAGGCACATTTATTTGGGTATGAGCTGACCAGGCATACTTGTTCCCAAAGGTGTCTGCATTTTCCCAAATGTCCCGGAGGTTGACTCGAATCAAATTTCATTGGTGGGATTTACAGGCTGCCCGACCTGTGATGTAATGTGAACAGATTGCCAACTGTAACACACAGAGGAGCCCAGTGTGAGAGCACAACTAAAAGCTTTGTGATAGCGCCCTGCTCTCCGGGCTGCGGAGCTGGTCGCCGCATGTTCAGTTTTTACGATGCATGTTCTCTTTGCTCGGGTGCCACATACGCCACTTTCTTTTGTCTGGTTGGGTTTTGTTTTGCATCCAGAGGAAAGCACAATCGCTCTTCTCGTTTTCTTTATGTACTACATGCAACAACAGTGCTTCAAATACAAGAAATTGACAGTTTATCAATTTGTGTGTCAGAAGGGTCAAAGTAGTGAAATAAATGAGCTGGGAAAGGTGGAACTAAATAATTTGGAATAGTTTTATAATACTATATTGTGTTTATCTAGATTAAATATGTACTAAATGAGTTATGATAATGTTTTAATGCTTCTCCTAACTCCAAACCTTGTAATTATATTGCTTTTCTATGTGATATATGATGACATTTTAAACACTTGTAATTGTATTTATAAACAATTTTCTGATTCCTTATCATTTATGCTGTCAGTAGTAAAATGCCATGGTAGCCTTTATGATTATTTCTTTATTCAAACAACAATCCAAAAAGCAACAAGCAATTTTACTGGCACATATAACAGAGAGAAGCAGCATGTTGATCAATAAAAGAGCTTCTTAATTAGTGCTCATTAGCACCATTTTGAGGTCATACATGTTGTTACAGACAAGTAAAAGCTTTGATAACCTCCTGCAGTCCCACAGCGCTGCTGAGCTCCGTTAAGCTAAAATATTCAGAATCACACAAGAAGCTACATGACGTTGATGCAGATTCCTGAAGTATAAAGGGGCCACAGATTTACCAGTCCGCACTTCCAGTAGAATGACAAGGTTTTGACATGTCTGAGAAACATGCTTCTGCAGACGGTGGCATCAGTGTCGGAGCAGTGTCTGACTGTCAGACCTATCACTGAGGAACAGTGCCAGTAACACTGTTTGGCAACAGTAGTTACAACAGATTTGAGGCTGATAATGTTTGTTGTAGTTTTTGTGGCCGGTTATTAGTCTGTTATTGGTTTGGCCAGTAGGACATGCACACATGTTGACTTTATGTCCCTTTTCTCATCCAAGTATCTTCATAAGCCACAAATACCTCCTGTGAGATGATGGATGCACTCTTAGATTCAAGCGTTATGAATCTGAGCAGCTCGTAGGAGAACCTGAGCAGATTAATTTGGTGGTTGGACTGAATAAAGGGCTCTAATGAAAGCATTTAGAAAGCTATTATTTAGGCCTAATGGATTTCTGAAAAAGGGCTGTTTGATTCATGGTCCCAAACGCAGAAGCCTTCATACACAAACCATTTAGTCCAGACTTTACCCCGGAGAACTTTTGTGTTTCATATTTCCAGTTCTTTTTGGAAATTTATTTTCGGCGTCTTTTCTCTAGATTTTGAACCCGAAGTATCTTTGGCTTTTTATTTGTTAGCACATAAAGTAGGGACTGTGTTTGTATATAATTACTGGATGGGCTCCTTTGCTGAAATTTTACAGTTGTATCCTATTAAGAGGACAGTTATTGCATGATGGTTCATAATGGGGTTCTGCCGACGTGAGAATCTGGTGTGGAGTGTTGACAATCCATAGTCTGTGTTAATGTGTCCCTGAAGCTAGTTGCCACTCTGAAGCAAATGGAGGCAGTCACCCACAACTGAACCGAGACTAATCCAATGGGTGATTAAAGCTCGTTGGATGTAGCGTGAGGTTTTATTCCCCATTCGTTGTCATAAACCGTGTAGTCCTAATGTGTGCTCGCAGTGTAGCTATAATGTAGTCAGTCATTTTATGTCATCATTGTGCAAATAGGTGCTCCACTACTCCACTTACTTTGCTGTGTTTGTGTTGTGCTGAAATAAAACCATTGAAGCAAGTAGGTTGCTGAACTTTTACTGAACCTGAGTTGCATTAAAGCGAAGGATGATGAGAAGCCGCCACTGAGCAAAGGGAGCAACTTAATTTGCATGTAAGCACATAATTGGACAAGACCCAACTTTCATTTTCATCCAAGAGCGCAACTGGACAAGCAGAGACTGTCCACCAAGAATCCTTAGGGAAAGTGTCACGTCTCTGGCAGCAGTCTGCACAATGGCGAGAGAGGGTGAAGTGAGTCATCTTTTCATGCTGGGTGTGGGGGGAAAAGTGCTTTAATTAACTGCCAGTTGATGCAGATTATGTATTTGTATATAAATATTACGCTCCAAACTTCTCCCTTGACACTGACTTTACCTAATAGACTCGGCTCTGTGGACATGTCCGTGTCTCGGGGGCCAATTAGATCTGCGTTCCCCATGCAGCATGAAAAAAGAGCTACTGTAGTTGCTGTCCACAGAGACAGGTGTGTATTTGTGTGCGGCTCTTTGGCAAGATGGTTAACCGTGCGATGTAGCCTCTTATTAACTTCAAGTTTGAAAGGTTCTTTGAATTAGCCAAACAAACATGCTGGAGGCTTGCTGCCTAAGGACTTCTGCTTCTGCTTTGGAGGCTTTGATAGTATTTTTCTTGTGCATGCATGTGTAATAAAACCCACACATATCTTACAAACGATGCAAACCATTCGCTGCTGGAATACACTCTGTTAGCTTTGAAGGCTCTAATTAAAGAATATTAAGATCATTCATTTTTCTCTCCGTCTCATCTCCTCACTGTCATGTGTATTGCATTCTGTTTCCAGCTAAAGTATCTATTAAGTCCTTCGGTTTTTAAAGCTCAGGATCTGTGCCGTGAAATACAAATTCACCTGCCTTTATAAAAACGGCCGTTTTCATCCTGCTTCCAGATCGTCACCAGAGGGTGCGAAACCACGGAGATGACACTTCGCCGGAATGGCCTCGGCCAGCTCGGCTTCCACGTCAATTTCGAGGGCATCGTAGCCGACGTGGAGCCCTTTGGTTTCGCCTGGAAGGCAGGACTGAGACAAGGCAGCCGACTGGTGGAGATCTGCAAGGTGGCCGTTGCTACCCTCACTCACGAGCAGATGATTGACCTGCTGCGCACCTCCGTCACCGTCAAAGTGGTTATAATTCAACCTTATGAAGATGGCACTCCCCGAAGGTAAACCCTCACTCTTTGGTCGTCTCATTTTCACCTCGGTGCAAACACTTTTGTTACAGCAATTAAGCCAAAATGACTTAAAATCAAATGCAGATTTCCTGTTGTTGTTTCCTGTTGTCCTGCGGTTAGCGAGACAGAAGCAGGTGCTCCCCCCAAAATTAATGAAGCCATAACAGAAAAGTAGTTTGGTTTACTTCTTTTTTCCCTGGCAGGTGGTGTAAATTAGCTTGACATTTGCTCTCGTGTTTGAGGCGATTAGCATAAAGAAATGCTTACATACTGTTTGTGTTGCACCGGAGATGATGTCGTCCTCCGCTGATTTCTCTGGAGATAGTCTTTCTTTGTTGCGAGAGAAATCTTCAGCAGGCCTGCAGAGCCGCAGACACGGACAGTCAGCATTTCCCACTAATGATAATGAGAAGAGGCTTTTGATTAATGGCTCAACTCTCGCTGCCTTTGTTTGACAGCTCACATTTGTAGATGGCTTTTCTCTAACCTCGCTCAACGTTCTGTTCAGCAATTAGGATGGGAGTGTGTGCCTTTTTTAGGGACACACTCCCATGTAGAGAGTCCACCGCCCTTGAAATAAATGAGGGAGCGTGTTTCAAATGATTTTTTTTTTTTTTTTGTGTGTGTGTGATGGGAAGAGACGAAGGTCTGTGTAAAATGCTTGTTCTGAAAGCACATCTGCTTGTTTTGTCTGTGCGAGACAGACAGCCCTGTGAAATCGTATCCGTCACTCCTTCACACTCACATTTTCGACATCTTTGTTTTTCTTCGGCTTCAGGCTGACAGATTTATGTACCAGGAAAATGCTGGTTCCACTTTGTCACAGACAGTCACGACAGAATGGCTTGACAATGTGCAGAAAGAATATTTCAATACAAACTCATTTTTCTGTTTGCGTTGTTACAGGTAATGCTAATACATCAGCTAATCGTTAAAGGTAATAACACATAGATAGCAGCAGATAATGAATCACTGTGTGTTTTCATTCTTTGACTGTATTTGTGTGCTTTCTAAACACATGAAGTAAAGTGGCGATTGGTGAATATCTTGATAAATCCCTGATGGGTGAGTGTTGCTCTAATCGTGGTTTTGGTAAATAATGATAATGACAGCCTTGCTTAATGTTCTGAATGAATATATGATTAAACAGCTGTGTGTATGTGTGCATCAAAATAAAGCATGGATAGTAGTTAACTTTTGCTTTCTGGTCTGGCATCAGAGGAGCAACATTTTTGCTCCCCCAGATGGCGAGCTAACGTGTGTTGTCTGTGAAGCCGACAGAGCAGCCTCTATGGCAGAACCGCCGTCTAAGCCTCTCGCCACGATCTGTGATGATACACGACGATGCAATCATTGTCACGGTCCGGGAACGGAAAAAGCAGATAAAACTGAACATCCTCCGAAACTGGTTTTGTCTCCACAAATGTGTCCAGCTTATCAGAGCAGTATTTACAGGATGGAGATAGAGAGAGCTTTTGGCATGGCATCTGTGCCAGGTGAAGACTTCTGGCTTGGTTTAGCTGAAACCACTGAAGTGACTGTTTAATGGGAGCCTGGACAGGCAATTAGAAATGGGGTTAGAAATAAACATAAATGAACTGAAACTTGTGCAGTGATTACGTCATACTAAATGTGTATAATATGTGTTGTGTCGCGTTACGAACAGAGTGTGACCCATATATTGCATTTGCTAATAGAGGCATCTGGCAGATTAGTGAGCATTAGTAGCAGCAGAACGGCAAACTGGTCAGTGCTGCTGAGCCTTCCCCGTCCCCACTGAAACACAGTTTCTCAACGCCACCCCCATGAGAACCAAACGCCTCCATCTCAGCTCCTCTGAATATTCTCCCAAGACTCCCAACAAATCAAGAGGTGAGAGGTCAGGTGAAGAATCTCGAGGGCCCTCAACACTTTTCGCTGCTGCGTCTTGGAGTTGCTAAAGTGTTGCAGTCAACAATAAGTGCTCCAGTTTCTCTGGCATTATCTCAAAGGAAAGGAATTCAGCAGGGGGCCCGAAGGCCCCAGTCAGTCCCCCGTGGCCAGAGAGATGAGGACTAATCTAGCAACAATGGACAAGAGTCTCATGACCTTCAAACAATGTACCCTGGCTCCACGCTGCTACCATGACAAGGAAAAATGTTTTCATAAGTACATGCGGTGGCTGGAAGGAGCTTCCTCTTTATTCTTTTTAAATCGCTCCAATATTGTTTAGGCTTCCTATTTTTGTGATTCGGCGAGGAGTGATGTTGTCATCTTGTTGCTAAGATTATGTCACATTAGATTGCAACAAGTGCAATAAGGAATCATTTATACAGTGTAGCATTGTTTTGTGGCAAACCTCCTGAAGCTGTTTATGCCCTAAATGGATTTACCCTGCTCTGCCTGAAGCTGTGCGATGTCTCTAATATTAGCCTTATCTAGTACTGTATTTATTTACACTGAGGGGCAGGATGTGGTTATAGCACAGCACAGTACCAGAGGCTTTTCCATCAT